GAAACCCGCCCTAGGTCTTTTCAAACTGTGGGATCCCGCCTATCCTGAAGGCCCAGAGGCTTGAACCAGACAATCCGTTGAGGTTGTGAAATCACCTCCGCACTCCCAGGCCATCCTTTTTCTTAAGCTTTTAAAGAATGGAGCAGAGTAACCGAATGGAAGGGAACTTTAAATGCTACACTTATTAGGGATCTAATTTTGATCCCTAACTTTGAGAAGCACTTTGTTTAAGTGATTTTTCTGGTCCTTCACCTGAAATTATGTTCGTTTGACCCTAAAACTGCAGAGAGCTCTAGTAATTAATGGGGAGATTAGTAAAATTCCAGACCCTAAGTAATACCAGTTTGGGAATAATCGCCTGTGTCCTTTGAACACTATAGTAACTTTTATCATATAAGTGTGACACACACAAGTTGCAAACCAAAGGAATCCCCAGAAATGACAGTGCAGGCACTCCCGTGGCATGACATTAATAGTCTCTGGAGTCACCAGATTTTTAGTCACTTCCCACCTGTTCATGCCGAGCTGAGGAGGGTGGTAGACATGAATCATGGGATGTTGTTCATTTAAGTAGACCTGGAACGCCTAGACAATGGAGGTTCCAGGCAGCTGGAAGAGAACCGCCAGTGTACACTGCACTTCCTCTTAAACATGGGTGACCTCAGTGACACTCTTTCCTCAATTTGGCTATGTGCAGAGTGGTGGTGGAGCACTCCCTCTTCTGAAGCCCATCCTCACTGGGAACTACAGATTGCCCTGGTGTCATGCAGGGCTACACGAGCCCACTCTTACTTACATGAGTGAAGTTCTAGGGACACAGGACTCCTGGATGGCACCCAGGAGAGCTGCTCAGACCGCTTGAATGCACGTACATCCACACACATGAATGAAGCAGGTGCCAAAAAGCAGATGGAAGGGCAGTTAGCTGCCACAGACCTTGTTCATTTCCACGTAGCTAGAGAAGCACGGCTGTGTAATGGGAACAGAGGGCCAGGTGAACTGGAAAATGCTGTAGGCAGGAGGGTCGATTTCTCACTGGTTCTGCCTAGTAGTCCCTCATCCCTGGGCTAAGATTTTGTGAGTGAAAGCACAGTGCTCTCTTTGAAAAGGCACTGGTTATCCCAGCCAGGCAGCTCTGAGTTAGTGGGACTTGCTGAAATAAAGTCAGTTTTTCCAGAAACCCGGAAGTAACTCTTGTGGGCTTTTCCCCCTCCAGCTCAGAAGTATGTGCCTAGGGCTGCGCTGGTGGACTTGGAACCCGGCACTATGGACAGTGTGAGGTCTGGGCCTTTTGGGCAGCTCTTCCGGCCTGACAACTTCATCTTCGGTAGGTTGTGTCTTGTTTGCTTGCTTTTCTCACTGACTGTTTCATGTTTATTGAGCTGCCTGGGGTTGAACCCAGGGATAGAATTGGGATTGTCCACTTGTGGCACCCTGTAGATAGTCAAAAGGCTTCAGAGTTTGGAGCACGCTGAATTTTCAGGCTAGGGATGCTGAACCATAGCTCATGAAAGGCAGTGTATTCCAGGGAAACGGGAGAATGTATCATAAAAAAAAAAAAAAATCTGTGTCCTGGCCACCTCTTCAGAAAGCCCCAGGCAGACACAGTTTGAGGGGGTAACAGGCAATCCTATTACCTGAACCATTGCTGAGAAGAAATATGGGAGCTCCAGTATTCCCTGTGAGGCTGAGTAGCCATAGACCAAAGTCACTTAAACAATCGAGCTAAAACACCCAGATGTTACTGTGTTTAAAAACCAAACACTACTTTGGGGGGTGTTGTAGCATACACCAATGCTGAACCCCCAGCATTGGGGAGGCAGAGGTAGGTGAGTCTCTGTGAGTTTGAGGTCAGCCAGAGCTACATAGGCCATATCTGAAAAATGGAAAAGAAGGTGGCATATTATAGGCCGACGGAATAAGCAGACAGGGTCACAGTCGAGAGTCTAGCACACTGCCACCAGCCCTCTCTCTGGCCCTTCCACTCCCTACACAACTTTAGGCTGGTTGTCGAACCTTCATGGGGACTGTCTAGTCCTTAGAGAGACAGAATTGAATGGGTAGGTATGTAGGATGCCACAGAAATGGCCCCACATAGAAACTGCGATTTTTGCCTCCTACAAAGCTTTTGTGCTTGGTTCTGTTCTAAAGAAGGAATATGATCATGTGTGCATGCCCGTAATCCCATGCAGGCCTGTAATCCCAGCACTCAGAGGTGGAGGCAGGAGGATCAAGAGATCTGGCTACCTCAGAAGCTTGAAGCCAACCTAGAGCTACATAAGATCTGTATCAAACACAACAAAAGACCTACCTTGGGTGACACTTGTTACAGCAGCAAAGAGTGACATGCTTTACACAGATTGGTACCAACAACTTCCAGTTAGTAAGTCCTGTAGTCTTGGCAGCAAGTTTCCCTGAGCCTGTCTTGGGTACTGTGTAGCCTGGAAGAGAAACAAGATGGTGGCCAACCATGGCTCTGTGACCTTCGTGTATTGTTTACCTTCTCTGAGCTTCTTCAGCTTCATGGTCTGAGAGGCAGATGGAGCCCTTCCCTAGTATCTGATCGGAAGGGCCCCTTCACGAACCTTGAAGTTCTGAGCTCTTATGAGAATCTGAGTTGAGGTAATGGCAGTGGATAAAGCACTTGCCTTAGCCTGAGCAGAATTTAAACCCCAGAGACTATGTGGAGGCAGACATGGCAGCGACATGGAGATGAGAGAGAAGGGTGCAGGACTCAGCAGAAGCCCACAGGCAGGGAGACTGGGGGTTGAAGCAATGAGAGACTTTATCTCAAATAAATGGAAGATTGTCTATGACCTCCACAAGTGTGCATAGGGGTATTGCTACACTGCCCCCCTCCTGAATGAGCAGTGTTTTCAGGTGTTCTGGCAAGGGTGAGAAGATTGGTAGTGATTGAGAACAGGGTCTCACATAGCCACAGCTGGTTTCAAACTCCTTATGTAGCTGAAGATGACTTTGAACTGAGCCTCCTGCCTCCCCCTCACAGGTGCTGGGATTAGAGCCGATGGCCTTCATGCCTGGTTGATGCTGTGTGGGAAGGGATTCAGCACAGCCCTTCACAAGTGCAGTCAGCTGGGAGGGGGATTCAGTTAAGCTGAGGACCCATTTCACTCTGGGTTTCTGGCAACTAAATTCATTTTCTTTTAACCCCCTCTGGCAATTAAATCCACGTAAGGAAGTGACCCCATGTCTCTGTCCCTGAAAGAGTTTAAATGCCCCTCCATTGTAAACCAATGTTATTTTTACTTTGCCTTTATTTCCAGCAAAATCCAGCACAATCACATTATCAACCCCCAAAAAACAAACAAACAAACAAACAAAAACCAAAAAACAAACTATAAATCAGCTAGGAAAGGCAGAGGCAGGTGGATCTGAGTTTGAGGCCATCCTGGTCTACAGAGCAAGTTCTAGGACAGCCAGGGCTATATAGAAAGACCCTGTCTCAAAGAAAAAGAAAAAAGTACTAAAACCATTTCACCTGCTGTCCATCTCCATGTAATCAGAGTCAGCTTTGGAGACTACCTTAACCTGTCTTTATTCTGATAGTCTTCTGTTTTAAAATTATACCATTATGTAGATTTTTTTCACTGAATACTATAAACCATGTTCCATGTTAGTGTATAGTTCTAAGATCTGTAGTTTTAATTGGGACATAATGTAATTCATGGTAACTAATTCTCAACATTATGAGGCCAGTTCTCAGTAGCTATTTGACAAGGAGGCAGTGTTTGCTCCTATATAGAATACAGTAATGAGGTGGCTGGGAAGAGGGCTTCACTGGTAGAGGGCTTGCTTTGCAAGCATGAGGACCTGAATTCAGGTCCCTGACAGCCCAGCACTCCAGTGCATACCTATAATCCCAGTGCCAGGGGATGGAGCCAGGTGGACACCTGGGGTTTATTCAGCTAGCCAATCTAGCCAAATCAGAGTTCCAGTTAAGTCAGAGACCTGATGGAGGAAGAGACCCAGTATGGCTCTCTGGCCTCTACTCATGCATGCACACATGCACCCACATGCATGTGTACACCCACAAACAGACTACTGTAATGATCTGGGAGTGATGGGATGGGCCTGGAATCCCAGCACTTTGGATGCCGAGGCAGAGAGTTTGGGAGTTTGAAGCCAATCTGGGGTATGTGAGACCTTGCCTTAAACAAGCAAACCAAAAGAATGCTGTGAGAATTGAAGGATACTGGCTTAGTGGTCAGGAGCACCTGCTGTTCAACCGAGAGAACTGGAGCGCAGATCTCAGCCCTCACATACCAAGCCTAACATCCCACACATACTTGTAAAAGCTCCAATAGGAGTAGAGACAGGAGGATTGCTGACTTCCAGCCTTGGGGAGTGTGTGTGGGGGGACACAACGGAAGCCCCAGGTTCAGAGAAGGACCCTGCCGCAAGTGGACAGAGAGTAATAGAGGATAACTGGCACCTTTCTCTGACCTCTACACATGTATGTTTTCACACATGCACATGTGTGCATACATAAATCATTTTTAAAAAAGAGCATGAGCATATTGGCCCACAGAAGTTCCTTTTCTGACTTTGATTTCTGAGTAGACTCTTGAAAGTATAATAAACAGTTAGGAAGACTTGGAGGCTTCCCATGGGATAAATGCTACCACAGTACATACAACTTACCTCTGCCTTTGCCTGGACTTTAAACTTAAGTTGATACCCAAGTACTTCTCCTAGCAGTGACATAGTGCTCTCAGAACTGCTTTATCAGGATTGGGGTGTGGCTTGGTGGCAGAGCTCGTGCTTAGGATATAGGAAGTCCTGGGTGTGATCCCCAGGACTACAAAAACAAAGAAAAAAAGAAAGTTATAGAAATCACCAAAACAACCCTGGAAGTGGCCGTTCTGTGTATAAAGTATCTGCCAAAAAGAGAACCTTAGACACAGCTCACGAGGCTCGCCCCAGAAAAACCTGAAGATCTGTGTTCAAATAGCTGTCTAACACTTCCCATGAGGAAGGCACATACCCCACCCCTGCTCTTTGAGAGAACATAGGAAGCTCATTTCTGGCTCTGCACTGCTCATGATGTTCAAGTTACATTGGGATTTCTAGAATGTTGGTGTCTGTCTTCACGTGGGTAGCAGAAGCGTGGGTAGTCAACATGTTATTATCCGTAACCTTTTACATGTCTTATAAGTCTGTTGTAAAGGCAAGGTCAGGTTCCTTGGAGGTGTGTGGCGAAGGCAATGACTTGTTCACAGCATAGCCGTGGCTTCTCTGCAGCTTTTCTTGGTCCAGGCTGACCATCTATCTGCCTGCCATAGTCCCAGGTAGAGCTCAAAGGCCCACCTGGCCTGGGTTGTTGTGCCCCAGTTGCAGCCCTGTTATGAAACTTGGTCATCCCAAACTCTGGGTTATGGGAAGGCAGCAGTTCCTTTGTAGTTGCCAGTTTTCAAACTGAAAAGCAGGGCTTTTTGTTTTGTTTTTTGAGACTGGATTTCTCTGTATAACAGCCCTGACTGTCCTGGAACTGGCTCTGTAGACCAGGCTGGGCTTGAACTCGGAGATCAACCTGCCTCTGCCTCCCATGTGCTGGGACTAAAGTTGTGTGCCACCACAACCCAGCATAAACGTAGGAGGTTTTTATCCTCACCTTTCTAGATGTTGATACCTGGATCAGCAAGAGCAAACACAGCTCAAGGCAGAGACATATATGTCATCATTTAGTTTTCTAGTTAACCCTATATATCCTCAAAACTATTAGAAAATGGCATTGGGGACTATGGAGAGGGCTAAGTCAGTAAAGAGCTTGCTGTATAGGCATGAGGTCTAAGCTCCATCCTCAGCATCCATTTAAAGCAAAAAAAGCTGGGTACAGTGAGTGTGTACAGTCGGTCATCTCTGGGTTTAATGTGAACTTGTCCAAAAACACTGAGGGAGGAAGATACTTCAACCTCTGGCCTGTACACTGTCCACACTACCAGGTACACAGTGTGCACACAAACACAGGTGAAGAAAATGACATTTGTCATTTAAAGCTCTCCCCAAATTCTGGCTGGCCTGGAACTTGAATCTACCATACCCAGGCTTTTTTTTTTTTTTTTTTTTTTTTTTTTTTTTTTTGTGGGGGGGGGGTGTGTGGGGTGTATGTATGGGTATGCACAAGGCCAGAAGGTGTTGAATCCTCTGGAGCTTGAGTTAATGGGCAGCTGTGAGCCACCTGAGTCTCTGAAAGAGCAGCAGTAGGTGTTCTTAACCACTGATCTCTTCATAACCCCCTCCCTCGCTGTTAAGAATGTATTTATTTGCTCCCAATGTCCAGGGGAGGCGCATGCCACAGAGAACCCCCCCCCCAAAAATGTATTTATTTGAGTCAGGGTCTCACTATGTAGCCCTGGCTTGCCTGGAACTTTCTATATAGACCAGGAGTTCTGCTTGCCTCTCCCTCCTAAGAACTGGGACTAAAGGCCATGCTACCATGCTTTTAACCTCTGAGCTATCTCTCCAGCCCCAAGAGACCCTGTCTTTAGAAAACAAAAATTGCCACTTGTCTAGAATGCTTATTTTATATTTCTTTGTTATGGCTATACCAATGGGCCAGTGAACTCATGCTGACTCTGTAGGTTCTGGGGATCTGAACTCATGTCCTCATTCGGAATTGTCTAATTACAGCTGACTCGGGGATGGTTCATTTTCACTGCTTCACAGCTCTTGGGCAGCTTTGGTAAATTAATATAGACCATGGTCAAGCAGGGCTTAGTGAGCGGAAGAATGCAAGTAAGGACCTGTCCCCAGCACCAAAAGACTGAATCAATAAGCCCGTGTCATTTCAGTTCTGGAATAGTTTGAATGGTTTAAAGAACACAATTGGTGCTGGGTGTAGTGGCATACACTTTTTGTTCCAGCATGTGGGAGGCAGAAGCAGGTGGATCTCTGAGTTTGAGGTCAGCCTGGTCTACCTAGTGAGTTCCAGGACAGCTAAAGCTACCTACTGAGACCCGTTTCAAAAAAAAAAGGATGTGTGTGTGTTTGGGGGGGCACTAAATGCATCAGTAATATATAATTTTAAAAAGTGAGAGTTACTTACATTGAGTTCCCAGTGATAATGATCATATGTTTTCAAAACTGCTTTTTCTTAATTGCTGGTTGCACAGCAGTCATGCCAGGGAGACTGGGAAGGAAGCTAAGTGCCAGACAGGCTGTTTCCTTAAAGCCCCATCGTGGATTTCCAGTTTTCCTTCAGATGGAGGACTAGCTAAGGAGCCAGGGAGCACAGAGAGCTGGAATACTTAGTTCTTCACCCAGCGTGAGTTGGCGGAAAACCAGAGGGTGGACTGTGAGGAAACCCTAGGCGCCTTCAGAGTGCCTGCCAAGCCTCAGGGTTTTGCAGCCTGTGTTTAACAAGCTGGAGTCACTGATTAATGGCCCAATGCATCATGTAGCTGTTCAACTTATGACCCCCAAATATTTAAGCAGGGATGATGTGTTGCTATGAGACAGTGGCAAAATATTTTTAAAAGTCGCCAGCTTCCTTCTTTTGTCAAGAGTAGAGAATACTTTGGGGCTAATCTGTGCTATGAATAGGGAGGAATCTAAGTTGCCGGGGGAGTTCAGATTCCCTGTAACACCTACAGCTTTGAGCGAGTTTGAAGTGAGGTCCTGCGTCTTGCCTGCAGCTGCCTTCTGTGCTTTCTGCTCTTTGAATGAACGGCCGGGGCTCCAGCACTGTGCAGTCTTCCTGTAGAGCAGTGATGGGTCAAGCCTACATTCTGAGTTGCCTGAGGGTTTGTTGTTCTCATTGCCTGTCTTGGGCTCTGGCCTGGCCTGCTGCCTTGTGTGGGAAGGGGCAGACACGAGTTTGTGGGTGCTCATGAAGACAATGACTATCTGTGCTGCCCAGTGTTTTGTCATCTTGACTAAAGCTAGAGTCATTTGGGATTAGAGAATTGCAATTGAGAAAATCCCCCCCCCACCAGGGGTGTGTGATTGCTCTCTCCCTCTAATACATATATATCTTTTTTGTTTGAGACAGGATTTCTCTGTGTAGCTCTGGCTGTTCTGGAACTCACTCTGTAGAACAGGCTGACCTTGAACCCACAAAGATCTGCCTCCTGAGTGCTGGATCTAAACACATACACTACCACCTCTCAGCCAGTGGGGTATTTTCTTGATTAATGACTGGTGTGGGAGGCCCAGCCCATTGTGGGTGGTGCCACCCCTGGGCAGGTGGTCCTGGGTTCTATAAGAAAGCAGGCTGAGTAAGCCAGTAAACAACACCCTCCATGACCTCTGCATCAGCTGCAGCCTCCAGGTTCCTGCCTTGAGTTCCTGTCCTGACTTCCTTTCATGATAGACTATAAATCTTAAGGTGAAGCAAACACTCTCCTCCCCAAGTTGCTTTTGTTCATAGTCTTAATACCACCTTAGTCTCAGAAGACACCCAGCCTGGCTTCACTTGGCAGGATGGAAGAGAACTGTGTGTAAGAGAAGAGGCCCATCCTAGACAAGCTTAGACCAGAGAAAGGCAAAGCAAGAACATAGCTACCTGAGAGGCTAGAAGGGGCAGTGTGCCTAGTAGGTATGCTGTAGTCATGGAGCAGGTGTCTGTCCAGATCACTGTGGAGCCATGCAGCAGCTCTGTCAATTGACCTGGAACCTCAGCACACCCAGTGGAGAAGCCCTCTGGAACCTAAGGTGGCTTACATTCTTTTATAATTTGCCTCCATCATGATGTTTTGTCATGGCAATAGAAAAGTAACTGACAAACAGTCCAGCCCCTATTTTATTTTATTTTTTAATTTTTAACTTTATGTGCATTGGTGTGAAGGTGTCAGATCCCCTGGACTGGAGTTACATGCAGTTGTGAGTTGCCGTGTGGGAATTGAACCCAGGTCTTGTGGAAAAACAATCAGTGCTCTTTTTTTGTTGTTTCTTTTTATTGTTGTTTTTTCGAGACAGGTTTTCTCTGTGGCTTTGGAGCTTATCCTGGCACTCGCTCTGTAGACAAAGCTGGCCTCAAACTCTCAAGAGATCCTCCTGCCTCTGCCTCCAAGTGCTGGAATTAAAGGTGTGTGTCACCACAACCCTGCCACAAAGCAGTGCTCTTAATAGCTGAGCCATCTCTCTAGCCTAGAAACTTACCTTTTAATATTGAAATGTGCTTAAAGTTTTCATTAGAGTAAATTCAAAGAGTCTCCACATGCCCTTCCTAACATCTCACAAGTGACTAGTGTGACAGCAGGGACCTCCTCAGCTCCACAGTGGCCATGACATTAGGCAGATAACTAGTGTCATAGATGGTTGGGATTTTCTATGTACATTCACTCGTACATGTTTGCACACACAACTGATTCTGTGTTCAGGAAATGAAAAGTTTCTCAGTAAAGAAGCCTGTCCGGTAGAATGAGCTGCCCTACAAAACACAGACTGATTAGATGGTTTCTCCTGGCTACTTGAACTGTTGATAAAACTCAAAACTCTTGTAGCCCTATTAGGCTCCTTTCCACTACTGGACTGGATATAATTTGAAGGTAGGAATCGTGTCTGTGCTTGTCTTCAATTATAGATGAAAAATCAGTAGTTCCTAGGAAAATGTACAATAATATTCCTAGAAAAATGGGTAATAAATGAGGAGCCCTGTTCATATTAAAAGTCATTACTGTTTTGAAGCTGGGTGTAGTGGCATATAATTTTGCCTCAGCGTTCCCAGTTGCAAAGGCAGGCAGATCTGAGTTCAAAGCCTAGCCAGGCAGTGGTGGTGCACACCTTTAATCCCAGCACTTTGGAGGCAGAGACAACCGGATCTGAGTACGAGGCTAGGCTCTGGTCTACAAAGCAAGTTCCAGAACAGACTCCAAAGCTACACAAAAACCCTGTCTCGAAAAACCCCAGCCTAGACTAACTAAGGGGCTCCAGGATGGCAGGGTTACAATAGCCCTGTCTTAAAACAAATTACTATCTTGAGAAGACTAAGTATTTGTAGCCTGGCGGTAGTGGGACATGTGTTTAGTTGGGAGGCAGAGGCAGGCGGATCTCTGAGTTTGAGGCCAGCCTAGTCTACAGAGCAAGTTCCAGGACAGCCAAGGATACACAAAGAAACCCTGTCTTGAACGCCTCCCCAAGTATTTGTATATAGTGCAGGTTTCAAATCCTTTATCCCCAAATCCTTGAAACCAGATGTTTTTTGGCATGTTAAAATATTTTCATATGTTTAAGAAGCAAGCTTCCTTGCTGGTGGGATAGAAAACATGAATTATGTTTACTGTACACTTTATACACAGACCCTGAAGGTAGTTCTAAACAGAATTTTCAGTGCTTCTGCACTGACTGACATGAGGTCAGGTATGGAATTTCCCACTCATGGCATCAGATCAGTATTCAAAGTCTGGGGTTTGCTTGAAAAAAAAAAAAAAGTCTGGGTTTGAAGTGTTTTGGATTTTCAGATCAGTGCAAAGTTCAGAAAGCTCAAAAGAGGGAAGGTATATAACTGATGTGTATATCCTGTCCTCTTGGAACTTTTAATCATGGGCCAAAATGATTTAAAAATAAGATCAGCTGGGCAGTGGTTAGGAGGCAGAGTTTGAGGCCAGCCTGGTCTACAGAGTGAGTTCTAGGACAGCCACAGTGGTCACACAGAGACACCCTGTCTAAATAGAGAAATGTAGAAATAATATCAGAGCCTGGTCTGGTGGGGCTACATAAGTAGGCTGACTCAAAAGAAACATTACCAGGTCAAGACAAATGTATCTTAAACTTTTACATATAGATTTGTTTATCATTAGTTTAATGTCCTGAGGTTGATTCCAGGTCCAGGACCTCTGCACGCTAAGTGCACTCTTCTCATGAGAGGGCCCCCACCCCTGTGTACATAGTTGACCTATCTAAAGAGGTACCAGGTCTGCTTATGTTTTCTAGGCACTGTGATGGGAACCTGTTGCCCGGTTCCTGTTCCTTTGCTTTAATCTCTTACACTCAGAAAATATTGATTGTGGAAAGCAGGTCACTGATGTCCTCTCTGGAATCTTGCCGTCTTGCAGGACAGACGGGCGCCGGGAACAACTGGGCCAAGGGCCACTACACTGAGGGCGCCGAGCTGGTGGACTCAGTGCTGGATGTGATTCGCAAGGAGTGTGAACACTGCGACTGCCTGCAGGGCTTCCAGCTCACCCACTCGTTGGGCGGCGGCACAGGATCAGGCATGGGCACCCTGCTCATCAGCAAGATCCGGGAGGAGTACCCGGACCGCATCATGAACACCTTCAGCGTCATGCCGTCGCCCAAGGTCTCAGACACCGTGGTGGAACCTTACAATGCCACATTGTCGGTACACCAGCTGAGACCTACTGCATCGACAACGAGGCCCTCTACGACATCTGCTTCCGCACTCTCAAGCTGACCACACCCACGTACGGGGACCTCAACCATCTGGTGTCTGCCACCATGAGCGGTGTCACCACATCCCTGCGTTTTCCCGGCCAGCTCAACGCTGACCTGCGCAAGCTGGCTGTGAACATGGTGCCCTTCCCACGCCTGCACTTCTTCATGCCCGGCTTCGCCCCACTCACAGCCCGGGGCAGTCAGCAGTACCGTGCCCTGACAGTGCCCGAGCTCACACAGCAGATGTTCGATGCCAAGAACATGATGGCTGCCTGCGACCCACGCCACGGCCGCTACCTGACCGTTGCCACCGTCTTTAGGGGCCCCATGTCCATGAAGGAGGTGGACGAGCAGATGCTGGCCATCCAGAACAAGAATAGCAGCTACTTTGTGGAGTGGATCCCCAACAACGTTAAAGTGGCCGTGTGTGACATCCCACCCCGGGGCCTGAAGATGGCTTCCACCTTCATTGGCAATAGCACTGCCATCCAGGAGCTATTCAAGCGCATCTCCGAGCAGTTCTCGGCCATGTTTCGCCGCAAGGCCTTTCTGCACTGGTTCACCGGCGAGGGCATGGACGAGATGGAGTTCACCGAGGCTGAGAGTAACATGAACGACTTGGTGTCTGAGTACCAGCAGTATCAGGACGCCACGGTCAACGACGGGGAAGAAGCTTTTGAAGATGAGGATGAAGAAGAGATCAATGAATAGGGGGCCTTTAAGATGCTATGGTGCACACCTGCTCTTAGCCCTGATGGTGTGAGCACGGTGCCCTGGTCTACACATCACAGGCCCCTCTCAACCAAATACACACCACTGTTCCCCAGGTTATCTGGAACAGGACACTTTCCTTTACCAGACAATTGACAGTCCTACCAGACCAGGGTGATTTCATACAGGAACACTGAAAGCAAAGTTAGGGGGCTGTAAAAGGCTGAAGACAGAGACCACCTTCCGTTAAGTGCCCAGCCATCAGAGTTAGCAGGGAAGTTAGAATAAAGATTTGTGTTTCATCCTTGGTGATAAAATCTAAAGCACCGCATTGTTGCCTTAATTGAATATACAATATGGAACTTTGTGACAATCCATTCATAATAAAATGCTAAACCTGTTCTTTAGTGTCTTGAGCTTCATCAAAGCAATGTAGTTCTCATTTTTCAGAAACCAATTTTGTGAACTGTTTGGAGAAGGGCCTGCTGTGGGTCAGGCTTCAACTGGTAGCACAAGGCTAAGCCTTGCCATACCCATTCCTGTGCAGGTGAGGTGGGTACCACTGACACCCCCATATGGGCAACTTCGTTGTTTCCCCAACAGGGAGACACCACTCTCCTGCCCCAGGGTCTCTCAGGCTTGCCAGGACAGTGGCGCCTCTATTATTCTTGTGAGCCGGTGAGGAGGGCAGGAGAAACCCAGGCATTTAGCTTGTGCAGGCATGGCAGCTTAAGGGCTGAATGTTGCCACTTTACCCACTTAAACTCAAGTTACTATGGGTAAGCTAAGAACTGGCCACTCTATGAACTCCAGGTTCAGGGCAGTCAAGCCCAGGTGGCACAATGTACGCCTGTCATGACCAGCTCAGGGAAAACCTAGTTAATGTAGTTATCATAGTGCTCCCAACGACTGACTCTTGGATCCAACAGCACCAGTCCGGACATAAATCTGGAGGGCTGCAGCTTTCTGTGGGAGCTGACCAGACCAACCAGGTAAGATTTGAAGAATTTATCTTCAAAAACGAAGACCACTTAATTTCTTGACATTGTTTTCTAAACATAAGCACAGCACAGTGACCCTTCACATGTTCAGGAAAAAGTACAATGTCCACCTTTTATTTCTGATGTAAAGAACCCATATTTACACAATACATTCATGTTTTTAAATATGTTACAGTTCTCTATAGAAAACCATTCCATTAAAACAGCAATAAGTGATCTGAATTCAAATTTTAAAATATTTGCTTGAATCAAAATATTCTTATCGGGACTCCAGCTGAATTTCACACAGCACTCCTGTAGAGATATCAGAGGAGGAGGAATGGAGAGTGGGTGATGGGGAAACATTCTTCTACCATGTAATAGATTCCACAAGACAGCTTTGGCAGGTGGTGCTCTCTCCCCTGTTCCAGCCACTGCTCCTGAGGCCAAGGCTGAGGGGCAGGAGAGTCCCCTTCAAAGCCCTGGGCAGTTGCTGGCACTCCTACAGCCAGCTGAGTCAGCAGCCGGCTTTGCACCAGGGCTGCTGTTCTGAAGGCTGCTGCTGAAACTGCAAACTGAAGCCCAGAGGACTAGGTAAAGCGGCTTCCAGCCCTGGGCCTAGCTGACAGCCTTCTCATTCAGGGGCTCGTCTTTCTCTTTCTCTTTCTGCTTCTCTTTCTCCCGCTCCTTGTTCCAATCCTGCAGGCCCTCAGGAAGCGAAGTGTCCTCATCCAAGCTGCCAGTGCCTTCCACAAATTCTTCATATGTGGATTTTTCTGTAAATGGTCTGGGGCCCAGAAGTTCAACCATATCATTCTTATCTAATACTTCCTTTTCTAATAGTAATAGAGCAACCTGAAATACAAGCAATTTTCATTAAAAGTTATTTAGTGAAATTCACTCAAAGTTAAAATTTTTACCTACAGCTGACTTCATTCTAATGAAAACCTAAGGGCTTGGAAGATGATTGAGTGCACTTGCTGCTCTGGCTGATGACGTAGGTTCGGTTCCAGCCCACTACCATCTTGTCACTCTAGTTCCAGGGGTCTAATTCCCTCTCAGGTCTTTGAGAACACCAGACACACTCATACACCAGACACACTCATACACATTAAAAGACTTTAATATTAAAAAATAAAACATAGGCCAGTGGGTGGTGGCTCACGCCTTTAATCCCAGCACTTAGGAGGCAGAGGCAGGCAGATCTCTGAGTTCAAGGCCAGCCTGGTCTACAGAGCTAGTTCTAGGACAGCCAAATCTATACAGAGAAACCCTGTCTTGAGACTCCCCCCCCAAAAAAAAAAAATTTAAGAACCTAAGACAACAGAATGTCTCATAAATGAGAGCATATGATTTTTTAGAGTAAGGTGTGCAATATACGGATGTCACAAATGTCTTTCATAAGCAAACAGGCAAACACAATTTGGTACATCCACATGATTAAGGATTATGTCATTGTAATAAAGGAAATGTGCGTCCTTCTCTGAAAGTAAATGACGCACAAATGTGCAGCCCAGGCTATGCCTGCTGTTAAGGAGGCCGTCACCTCATTTGAAACCTTTATACAAGCAAAACAGTGTATTTCTCACAACTAATTCTGAATGGACTTAGGAGAAATGAAAGCTTTAGGAATCCCTCTAAGGCACCTCTGATGCAAGTACATAGTGTAGTCATGGGTAAGCACTGAAATCTTTTTTTTTTTTTTTGGTTTTTTCGAGACAGGGTTCCTCTGTGGCTTTGGAGGCTGTCCTGGAACTAGTTCTTGTAGACTAGGCTGGCCTCGAACTCAGAGATCCGCTTGTCTCTGCCTCCCGAGTGCCGGAATTAAAGGTGTGCGCCACCAACGCCCTGCTAAGCACTGAAATCATAATAGTTCTTACTACCATGGACATCTGCTCATACAAACCGGACACTTTCCCTCACACAGCACTAGTCACATCCCAAGTGCTTGGTAACTATGCACAGCTATCCAGTACACAGCCAAGTGGAGAGGTGACTTGCAAAGGCTGCAGCTGGGTCAGAACACTGCCTCTGTCACTCACAACCTTTGACCTTAAGCTATTATATGACCTCTCTGCATTGTTTCTTCACTGTAAAGTGGGGATAATGACACCAGGAACCTCAGGAGGTTGCAGGCTTAGCTGGTACTGTGTGTATTAGTTCCCCTTATCCTGAAGAAGGGCTCCAGACAACATGCCCAAGTCCTTACTCCACAGGGTGGCAAACTGAGCCCCTGAGCAAAGTCTTCAAGCCCTCTCCTCTCAGTACACTGGTCCCCTGAAAGGCTCAACAATCCTCATCGCTTCCTTTTCTCTGCTGGGTCAGAAAGTACTTTGTGTATCAGGCTCCTTACCCTGGCTCAGCACATTTTCCTTCCACCAAACATTTCTTTGGTACACATTGAGTACACATAGTCTGGGCAGGGGTGAGACCTCTCCCTCCCTCTCCTCCCCCCATGATGTCTGCAACCTCTCTGCCAGCACAGAGCTAGTAAGCTCCATTTTGGTGGCTTATTTTAACTACTCCTCTCATGGGAATTCTGGCAAATTCGCATGGAATGAGGCTGGCCGTAACATTTTCCTTTGCTTGTTCAGACTTTCCTCACCTAACACAAGAACCAGAACAGTGCTGCTTCTCTTCCCCAGGCACAGGGAAGACACTTAGCTCCAGAGGGAAGAAGCATAGAAGGTAGTTGGGAGGAAGGGATTCCTGAGTCTAGACACCAACTAAATCATCTGCAGAAAGCCAGACATAGTGGCTTACCCCTGTAATTCCAGGACTCAGGAGGCAGAGGCAGGGGAATCACAGCAAGATTGGTACCAACCTGTTCTACACAGTGAGTTCCAGACCAGCTGGGGTTACATAGCAAAATCCTGTCTCAAAAACCAACGAGGCTGGCAAGAAGGCTCAGCAAGTAAAGGCACTTGCTGAGCAAGACTGATGGTCTGAATTTAATCCCTGGAGCCCACAAAGAGGTGGAAGGAGAGAACCAACTCCACAGAATTATCATTTGATTGACATTTGTGTGCATGCACACACTTGTGAGCGTGAGCATGTGCATGTGGACACACACACACAACCAACCAAAGCACTTGTGGGGAGAATCATCCACACGCTGGCACCTACCTTCTCCACGTCAGCCTTCTTCTCTGTGAGAAGAGCCACAGTTCTTTTATAGGCATCATTAATAAGTATTCTCACTTCATCATCTATCATCCTCGCAGTGGCTTCACTGTAAGGCTTCTCTAATACCATGTCCCCCTGGCGTGGGAGGTCAAACGAGATCTGCCCCACCTTCTCGTTCATGCCGAACTGAACAATCTGGAAAAGATCCATGACTAGAAGGTTAGATAAGAGAACCTTTACCTTTCTTTTTTTCCCCTGAGATAGAGTTTCTCTGTGTTTCTTTGGAGCCTGTCCTGGAACTCACTTTATAGACCAGGCTGGCCTCAAATTCACATAGACCCACCTGCCTCCGCCTCCCAAGTGCTGGGATTAAAGTCATGTGCCATCAACAACTGGTGAGAACCTTTACCCTCAAAGACTTACAGAGGGCAATGGCTATCGAAGTGAACAAAGATACTTTGTAATGGTGGCCAAGAGCAGCAGTATGATTTAAACTTATACGGGAGCACCATCAGAACAAAATGAGTGGACAAACAGTAGGTAAACTACAGCAGCTCTGAAGCCTGCAGGCTATTCCACCTATGGAAGGATGTGAAAAAGCAAGAATCACTTGATATTGCTGGTCATGATGGCCCACACTTTTAATTCCAGCACTCAGGAGGCAGAGGCAGGCGGATCTCTGAATTCGAGGCCAGCCTGGTCTACAAAGCAAGTCCCAGGACAGCCAGAGCAACAAAGAGAAACCCTATCTTGAAACACCAAAAAGCTCTTGGTAAGATCAAACTGCCAACGAGTTCTCCTGTGAAAAGACAGTCTAAACCTGAGATCATGTAACACATGATGACATCTGCATTTTTCCACAAACTGTCCATGGAGTCAAGGGACAATGTGAAGTGGCAGATGCACTGTGATTCTTATGAGGCTCCCAAACTTTATAGCACTGCTTCTTGAGTGAGAAACTTTTGGAAGTAAAATCCAAACTGACTTGAAGAGAAGGACCAAGGCTCGAGAGTGGTTAAGGGCACTGCATGCTCTTCCAGAGGACCCGGGCTCAGTTTCCAGCACCCATATGGAGACTCTCTACTATCTGTAACTCAGTTCCCAGGGATCTGAGGCCCTCTTCTGACCTCTGCAGGTACCAGGCATGTACATGGCGCACAGACATACATGCAGGGAAAACACCCATATACATAAAATAAAAATAAAAGAATCTTAAGCACAGGTTCCCTCACCTCACCGAATCCTAGCCCTCCCTACTCCTGAGATCAGAAAGATAAACATGGACAAGAGGTGGACGCCCTTTGAAGTTACTGTGAGAAAAGAAGATGCAGAATAATGCCTCCAGAGAAGAAAAGCAGGATGGAAACACAAGTCTGCATCACAGAGGAAACTGTGACCCACAGAAATGAAGCAAGCAGGAGGAAGTGGAAAGGACTCCAAGAACCAGACACAGAAGGACTCCCAGGTGCCAGAGGGCAGGAAAAAAAAAAAAAAAAAAAACCAAACTACACTCCACAGGAAAAACACTTTTTAAAAAGATTAAACAAAGGCCAGGCAGTGGTGGCTCACACCTTTAATCCCAGCACTCGGGAGACAGAGGCAGGCGGATCTCTGTGAGTTCGAGACCAGCCTGGTCTACAAGAGCTATTTCCAGGACAGCCTCCAAAGCCACAGAGAAACCCTGTCTCGAACCCCCCCCCCCCCCAAAGATTAAACAACAACAACAAAAAAGGATTAAACTAAAAACAAGAGCAATAATAAGCAATAATGCTGTAAGGAAAAAAATGTAACATTAAAAATAACTAGTTAGGAACTATCACTTTCAAAGCAAGACACGGAGCAAAAAATTGCTTCAATGGACAGCAGTTCACACAGAGGCCCAGAGAAAAGACCCTACTGCTGGGGCTTCAGAAACCAGCAGTAAAAGCTGAAGAAAAAAAAAAAAAAAAAACACCACCACCACCAACACAGTTACAGGTCAGGAGAGGGCTGCTCCTAGGGGGGTGGCCAGGGACAGAGTGTGGGACCAGGTGTCCAGCATCCCTCATGACAAGAGGAGTGGCTAGGCTTAGTACTTGCCAAAGGAGCAAGTACGGTAGTATATACTGAAACCCCAAGACTTGGGAGTATAGCTGAGGATAACAAGAGACCCCTTCTTTAAAAAATAAAAACTTAAAAAAAAAAATAAAAAAGGAAAAACGGGCGGTGGTGGCGCACACCTTTAATCCCAGCACTTGGGAGGTAGAAGCAGGCAGATCTCTGTGAGTTTGAGACCAGCCTGGTCTACAAGAGCTAGTTCCAGGACAGCCTCCAAAGCCACAGAGAAACCCTGTCTCAAAAAACCCAAAAAAAAAAAAAAAACTTTGAAAATTAAACTTTAGGGGGCTGGAGAGATGGCTCAGTGGTGAAGAGCAGTGGCTGCTCTTCCAGGGGACCTGGGTCCAATTCCCAGACCCACATGGTAGCCCACACCTATCTGTAACTCCAGTTCCATGGGATCTGGTATCCTTACACCAATGCACACAAAATAAAGTTAAATAATGTATTTTTTAAAAAAAGAAAATTAAACTTTAAACTCTATCTATAAACATTACATACAGAATTCTTAGGAAAAACTCTAAAAACTGCAATACACTTTTTATTCTGTAAGTTATTTTTTGTTAGTTGTTTGGCTTTTTTTGAGATAGGGTTTCTCTGTATAGTCCTGGCTGTACTGAAACTCGCTCTGTAGATCAGGCTGGCCTCAAACTCAAGAGATCTGTCTGACCCTGTCTCCCAAGTGCTGAAATTAAAGGGTGCTACTACCTCCCAGCAAGTTTTTAAAGTGGATTTTTTAAAAGGTTTTGGTTTTTAAAATTATCTGTGTGTCTGTACATGAGTCTAGGTGCCTTAGAAGCCAGAGGTGTCAGAGTTACAGGAAGTTGTAGACATCCAACGTGAGTTCTGGGAAGAGAACTTGGGTCCTCTTCAAGAACAGTATGCACTCTTAACAACCGAGTCTTCTCTCCAGTCTCTACAGTGGATTTAAGAAAGACTCCTTGCTGTAAAAATCTAAACCAGTGAAACATCTGTGTCATCTCAGTCATTCACAAAGACTGATTTTCTAGGCTAATAAGAAAATGAGACAGAAGCCCAGTCCACAGACTCACCTGGGCATAGGCACTCTGGGTAACCTTCCTCAAGTCATCCTGGGCACCAGTTGTGATTCTTCCAAAGAAGATTTCTTCAGAGACTCGGCCACCCAGGGTCATGCACATCCTGTCCAGCAGCTGCTCCTTTGTGTACAGATACTGCTCCTTTGGCAAGTACTGAGCATAGCCCAGCCCCTTACCACGAGGGATGATGGACACCTGGTGAGTAAGAAGCATAGTGGTCAAGGTCCCACTCCCAATGCAGCCCTGATCAAGGACTGTCTACATGGAAACTTGCTGATAAAAGGAAGCACCATGCTGGGCTGCATACCAGTTCCAATGCCATGAGATCTAGCAAGGACCAGGAGGGAAACTCCCTCACCTCAAGCTCCCAAAAGCATCTCTGCCCTTACATAAAGGAGTCCTGAGGACTGCTGGCTGTGGTCTCCTCTGGCAGACCACAGAGCTGACTCAACTCTGGCATAGCCTCTTGTGCTTCAGAGGAGTGTTCGCCTATCATGTATAAGGCAATAGGTTCTGCAGAGGACTGTCACATATGTAAGCAGGTATATGTGTTCCCAGACCTGCACACATCTACATCACACATACTTAAAAAATAAAAAGGGGCTAGGGGTATAGCTCAGTGGTAGAGGACTTATCCAGCATGTATGAGGTCCTAGGTTCAATCTCCAGGATGGCAAACAGAAGTTTTCTGTCAAGATTTGTGCTGTATCTGTAGGAGGGTGTGTGTAAACATTTCCTTCAGCCATCACTAGTTTCTGCTACATCCCTCCAAAGGTACACTGGATCTGCTGTCTCTTGAGTGAATATAACTCCTTTTCAGTCACTGCACACATACTAAGCTAGCTTGCCTATTGCAATACTCTCTTTGGCACCTTTAAGAGTGGGTCTGCATGCTCCAGATACCAGCCGGCGACTGCATGGCCTGCTTCATGGTAAGCTACTGTCTTCTTCTCCTCAGGCTGTAGAACTTGGGTTTTTTTCTCCAAGCCTAATGATAACAAAAACCCCAAACCACTGTTTTAGTGACAATGACATTAAAAAATAGCAATACAATGCTATACAACTCATTACCTAAGATGTAATTTAACAAGTGACCTGCCTAAACTTCCTAACCGAAATCCAAATAAAGGGCCAAGTCTGAAATATATCCAACCACAATAAAAATGTGTATTTCTCATCTCTGTCCCAGGATCTCTTTTACCCTAACCTCCCACTGTTTTAAACCACATACCTTTTTGGGGGGAAATCAACAGAAATGTAAATGTAATTCAGCATTTAGAACATATGAAACATGAAACTCATAGAGAAGTCTGGAGGGGTCCTCTGCTTGGTTTTGTTATTCAGAACCATCAAGTCCTGGGACAACAAGGATGCTTGTTTGTTGCCAGTGGGAGGCAGATGACAGGAAAGTATCACCCTAGTCAAAGACCTGAACTTCCTACTCAGAACTGGAAAGCTGTCACAGGCCAGACAATTTAAGGGATCAAGGAATTTGTCAAGAAACACTCTAGGAAGGTGACTCCCAGACACACAATCCCAAAGACCCTGTGTTAAAGAGTTCAATGCCTCCAGGCGATAGTGGTGCATGCCTTTAATTCCAGTACTCAGGAGGCAGAGGCAGGGGATTGATTGTCTCTAAGTTCAAGGTGAGCCTGATCTACAGAGTGATCAGCCAAAGCCAGGACAACCAAAGCCAGACACAGAAACCCTGTCTTTAAAAGAAAAAAAAAAAAAAAAAAAGAGTTCCATGCCAACCACAAAGCTCAAAGCTCTGTAATTTCAGCTTTTTCCCAGCCTGCAGAGAGGTTGCCTCCAAGCCTCATTTTATATCATGATCTATAATTGTAAACCCTGATGGTGCATATTCTGTGGCAGGCAAACCATCACACCATCTTTCAAGTGTTCTGCTTTGTTCAAGGTAATTCATGTGGGGGAGGGGCACTATGCTCTCAATGACATAAAGCTATGAGACAAACACATTACACAAAGCTATGAGGGTCAACAGTTACTAAGGATGAGTTAATACATCCATTGTTCCACAGCATTTCTTTCTTTTTCTTTTTGTGGTGCTGGAGATGGACCTTGGAGCCTGTGTATGCTAAGCAGGTACTCCAACATTAAGCTATAACCCCTAACCTTCTTGCTTATCTGAAAATACAAACCATCTTCCCACAGTTCATCATAGCAATTCTGCCCTTTCTCAGTATGCCACTACTACAAAGCACGAGGCTTTGTTCATGGAGGCAGCACTGCCAATAGGCAAGCTCCTTTCTACCTCAGAGAGGGGAGTGTTCAGACACAAAAAAAGCACAAGGTAAGCCTGGAGATGGCATGACAAGCCCCACTGCTACATGGATATACTTTCTTTGTAGATCTTGACAAAACAGAAATCAAGGGCTGAAATTTTCTTTGACGAACTTTTAAAAACAGAGACATGGTCTCACCATTTACCCTAGAGTGGGCTCACAACTGAGATCCTCCTCCTTCATGTCCCACATGCTGGAATTGCAGCCACATACCAGCTAACACATGGACTACCACCAGACTTTTGACCTGAGTTATACTCAGCTGCCTTACCTCCAATCACTCGCTCAATTGCTTGTTCAAAGTGCTTCTCATTAATGGCATCTGAAAGGTGTCTTGCAGCAATCAAAGCAGCTTCATTGCAGACATTGGCAACATCAGCTCCTACAAATGAACACACAAAATCATGCTCAAACTGACCAGTCATACACTAGGGAGGACCGAACCCACACAGACCTTAACCATCAGGAGACTGAAAAGAAGTTTAATGGAAACATAATCCAAGGTGTTTACCAGAGTCCTAAGCTATTCTAGTATTAAATACAAGCCTACACAATCTTGGCCCTGTGAGCTGAGACAATTAGTAGCAAATAGGTAACGGCAGATCAGGATTCACCTTAATAGACAATATGGTTCACGTAATGGCAAACTATGATAGCACTTGTTCTTTTTTTCCCTGAGACAGGGTTTCTCTGTAGGTTTGGAGACAGTCCTAGAACTCTCTTTGAAGACCAGGCTAGCCTCACACGAACAGAGATCTGCCTGCCTCTGCCTCCCAAGCCTATGATAGCATTTTAAAATCTTTACTTTATTTATGTATATGAGTGTGTTGCCTACATGTATGTCTGTACACCATGTGTATGCAGTGCCAACAAAGACCAAAAGAGGATGCCTGATCACCTGGAACTGGAGTTACAGGTTGTTGTTAGCTGTGCAGGTGCTGGGAATTGAACCTGGGTCTTCTGGAAGGGCAGCCAATGCCAACTACTGAGCCCAATGACAGTATTTTTTTTTTTTTAATTTACTCTCCTCCCATATATTACATCCTGACCATAGTTCCCCTCCCTCCCTTCTCTCCCATTCACTCCTCCTCTGTTTCTTTTCAGAGAAGGGCAGGCCTTCCACGTATATAAACCCAACATGGCAAATCAAAGCACCTCCCCTCATATTAAAGCTGGACAAGACAACCCAGTATGAGGAACAAAGACCCGTGCAGGCTCCCTGGCTATCAGTTGAGTCTCTGTGAGTCCCTAAGAGCCCAGGTTAGCTGATTCTGTGGGTTTTGTTAAGGTGTCCTTGACCCCTTTGATTCTTAGGATCCTTCTTCCCCTTTTTCCACAGGATTCCCTGAGCTCTGCCTAATGTTTGGCCATGGGACTCCAATGACAGCATTCTTTTTCTTTTTTTAATTTAAAATTAGAAACCAGCTTCTTTTACATGTCAATCTCAGTTCCCTCTCCCTCCCCTCCTCCCCTGCCCCCCACTGACCTCCTATTCCATCCCCTTTCTGCTCCTCAGGGAGGATGAGGCCTTCCATGGGGGATCTTCAAAGTCTGTCATATCATTTGGAGCAGGGCCTAGACCCTCCCCACAATGACAGTATTTTTAAATGCACATTAATTTCCTTAGTTTCACCATCTTTGCTGGGAAAATGACTTATGGGCATGTTAGACAACATGCTTATATAACATATAATAAACATGTATTAAAAAATCTAGTACATTTGGTTAACAAGTTTAAATAATGTAAAGCTTGCCAAATGTTTGTTTGGTATACAATGGCTTTATGTGCATCTTTCTGCTTAAGTGTGTGTTAACACAAGTAAACTATAACATACGATAAGTTTTAAACAGTATAGTACTTCTGGGTAAGATGACCTACAGACACTGCCTGTGTGACCCACTGAAGGACAAGAATCAGGTAAGAAAAAATGGAATTTACTCAAAAGATAGAAAGCTTCAGAAATTCAGAATAGTAATGACAGGATGGCTGGAAAGCACAGAGCATGGAAGTGTGACATGGAGAGACATTTAGGCCAAGCAGAGCTTGCTCCAGTTTTGTAGTTCTCAATTGGGCAAAAGCAGCAGCAGTCTCATCAGAGGGCAGCACTGGTGTGAGAAGATGGGCAGTGCCACCCACAGAACAAGCACGGTCCTCACAAGAATCTATTCTGGTGGCAGGTTTTGGTGAGATAGTGGCTGACTTGAAGTAAGGTTGTCAGGTACCATCGTGGAAGGAACCGAGTGTTTAAAATTGAGTCAGGCAGTGGTGGCGCACACTTTTAATCCCAGCACTTGGGAGGTAGAGGAAGGAAGATCTCTGTGAGTTTGAGGCCAGCCTGGTATACAGAGCAAGTTCCAGGACAGCCAGGGCTACACAGAGAAACTCTGTCTCAAAAAAAAAGGAGTGCAGGAGTGCACAAGAAAAGGCAGCCCCACCCTTCCTGCCAGGAGAAGACAACACTTACTGAGGATGATAACTCTGGAGTCAGAGCTCTGAGCCTGCAGTTCGCAAAAGATAAACCCCTGGGACCATTGCTTTCTGCCACTGACCCTCCAATAAATACCTGACATCACAGCGCCAAACACACACATGTCCAGAGAAGAATCTCTTCACAACATAGCAGAACCAAGTTGTCAAAACGCAGCACAAAGAAATTACTAGTCGGGCGTTGGTGGGGCTCACCTTTAATCCCAGCACTCGGGAGGCAGAGGTAGGCGGATCTCTGTCAGTTCGAGGCCAGCCTGATCTCCAGAGCGAGTGCCAGGATAGGCTCCAAAGCTACACAAAGAAACCCTGTCTCGAAAAACCAAAAATAAATAAACTAAAAACTTTAAGGGAAAAAAGCTAACTCACTCACCAAAGCAAACACATCCAAGTAACATCACGGATTAAGCCAAGAAAGCATAGTACAAATGAATAACTGCAAACCATGATTGCTACTTCAAACAATGGCATATTTTAAAAATGACTAAAATGACATTTCAGCTGGGCAGTGGTGGCACCTGCCTTTAATCCCACCCCAGCACTAGGGTACGTTGCATTATATTCCTTTACACTGTGTGAAGAAATGTCACTGTGATTGGTTTAATAAAAAGCTAAACAGCCAATAGTTAGGCAGGATTATCTGGGCAGAGAGAACTCAGGAAAGAAGGGCGGAGATGTGAGGAGACATGGAGGAAGCAGAAAGGCAAATGGACAGTTCATAAATGAGGTAAACATGCCTCGGGGCAGCACATAGATGAATAGAAATGGGTTGATTTAAGTAATAAGAGCTAGTTAGAAAGAAGCCTAAGCTATCAGCCAAACTTTCATAATTAATAATAAGTCTTCCCCTTTCCGACGACCGACCCAGGAACTAGAGCCCTCATCCAGCGGCTGATGGAAGCAGAGACAGACATCCACAGATATACACTGAGCTGAAATCGGGAATTTAGTTGAAGAGAGGGAGGAATGAAGAGCGAAGGGGTCTGTACCAGGTTGAAGAAACTCACAGAAACAGTTGGCCTAAACAAGGGAGAGCACATCGACCCCAGATGCTGTCGGGGAGTCAGGGAGGCCAGTACAAGACTGATCCAGACCCCTGAACATGGATGTCAATAAGGAGGCCTCTGCACTCCAGGGAGCCTCTGGTGGTGGATTAGTATTTTTCCCTGGTGCAAGAAGGGACTTTGAGAGCCCATCCCATGTGAAGGGTTACACTCTGGCCCTGGACACATGGGGAAGGGCCCAGGACAGGACAGGAAGATTTGGTGGACTTTGCAGAGCCCTCATTGAGGGCCCTACCCTGCCTGGGGAGTGGTGGAAGTCTTCATGTTATGATTTGGGAGCTGGCTGGCGGGACAAAGAAAGACTTGCTACAAAAGTGGATCTCTGTGAGTTCAAGGCCAGCCTAGTCTACAAATCAAGCTCCAGTACAGCCAGGGCTGTTTCACAGAGACATCCTGTCTCACCACCCCCCAAAGACACTTCAAGATGAGCATAAAGTAATATAGTTTATGATGACCAAGCTAGCACCATAGAAGATACTTAGAGAAATACTATTCACAAAGAAGGACAAACATCTCAATTATAACAGCACAGAAAAAATAATTATCAGAAGAGATGAACAGAAAAGCTAGAAAGGAATTCATTGCATCCAAACACAATAAATAATAAATGATCCAACAAACCAGAAAAAAATTAGTAAATATTTTACAATAACTACAAATGGCTTAAATCACCATTAAAATACACACATGCTAACTAGAGTAAAAAACAAGATCCAACTACACTTTGTCATCAAGAAACACTTCATTGGCAAAGATTCCAACAGAATGAATTAAAGGATCAAAGTCAATCTATCAAGCAAACTAAAACTAAAAACTAGCTGGTGTAGCTATTCTGAAAATGGATTTCTTTTGTTTTTTTAAGATTTATTCATTTATTTTAATGCAATTTTAAATTTTTATTTCTATTTGTGTGAGTGTTTTGCCTGCATGTACATCTATGCACCCCATGTGTGCCTCATGGCTCTGAATAACAAACCAAAACTTCAATGAGACACCAATTTATGCCTCTAGGATTACTACAATAAAAAAACAGGGGCTGGAGAAATGGCTCAGCGGTTAAGAGCACTGACTGCTCTTCCAGAGGACCTGGGTTCAATTCCCAGCACCCACATGGCAGCTCACAACTGTCTGTAACTCCAAGATCTGACCCCTCACACAGACATACATGCAGGCAGAACACCAATGTACATAAAAATAAGAATAAATAAATTAAAAAAAAAAAACAGATAAACTAACTGCTGTGGCTCACACATGTAATCTTAACATTGGGAGGCCTGAGGCAAGAGGACCACCACAAAATCAGGTCAGCCAAGGCTTTGTAGCAAGATCTTGTCTCAAAACCAGAGGTAGGAGGAGACAAAAGAGAGACAGCCAGAGAGAATAGCAGTTGCTGGCAAGGATGTGGAGAAAGTGGCATACATATTCATAGCCTAAGGTGGGAAGTTAAAATGAAGCAGCTGAGCCAGGTAGCGGTGGTGCATGCCTTTAATCCCAGCACTGGGGAGGCAGAAGCAGGCGGATCTCCGTGAATTCGAGGCCAGTCTGATCTATAGACCAAGTCCCAGGACAGCCTCCAAAGCTACAGAGAAACCCTGTCTCAAAACACAAAAACAATTAACAACAACAAAACACGATGCAGTCACTTTAGAAAATAACCCAGTAGTTTCTCAGAAAGGCAAACACATAACTCATCACTTAAGCAATTTTTTTTTACTTTAACCTTTATTTTGAAGATTTATTTATTTAGTTATATTATGTATGCAGTATTCTGCCTGCATATTTGCCTACAGATCAGAAGAGGGCACCAGATCTCATTACAGATGGTTGTGAGCCACCATGTGGCTGCTGGGAACTGAACTCAGAACCTCTGGCAGAGCAGCCAGTGCTCTTAACCTCTGAGCCATCTCTCCACCCCCACATAAGCAATTCTAAAAGAAACGAATATATCCACACAAAAATCTGTAGTTGAATACATATGTGTTATTCATAACAATCACAAAGTAGAAACCACTCAAATGTCATCAAATGAAGACCAAGTTAAGTGAGACATGGCATACCCATATATACCAGATAGCGAATAATCAGAAAAACAAATGAAGTTGCTACCTGTTCCCAGAGGGAACAAGCATTCTAAGTGAATATGAGCAGGTAACATATTGCATAATCCAATTATAAAATGTCCAGCTAGGGGGGGCTGGAGAGATGGCTCAGAGGTTAAGAGCACTGGCTGTTCTTCCAGAGGACCCGGGGTCAATTCCCAGCATCCACATGACAGCTCACAACTGTCTATAACTCCAGTTCCAGGGGGTCTGTCACCTTTGTACCAATGCACATAAAAAATAAAGTTAAATATATTTAAAAAAAGAAAAAAAATGTCCAGCTAGGAAAACCTATAAAGACTGAAAGTAGATTACTGTTGTCCAGGCCTGGAGGTGGAAGAAGATGCTCACAGACTCTTCTCAAGATGATACAATGTTTCAAAGTTAAATTATAGAGATCACTGGGCTACTATGTAAATACATTAAAACCCACCTCACTTACACTTAATACTGGTGAGCACTGCAGCATGCTATCTATCTCTACCAGTAACTGTTACAATACTTGGGAGTAAATCCTATGATTTATGGATACAGTGATGTGCTGCCAGGAGCTGCTCATAACTCACGATGAAGGCAAAGGGTGAGGCCAAATGCAGAGCGCCTAGATGTTAATCAATACCTGCTCATTCTAGAGGCTGGTAAAGTGCTCAAGGTTCAGTGTACTGTATCCTCTAATTATGTGTGTATCTGAAGTTTCCCATAATTAAGAGGTAAAAACATCTGACAAAGGCTAAAGGTGTGAGGAACTACTAGCCCCTGGTACTTGCCAGTGATTGAAAACTGCTTTAAAACCAGCAGCAATTTCCACTTACCTGAAAACCCTGGGGTTAAGGATGCCAGTTTTCTAGCCAATTTCTCCTTTTCCAAGGCACTGTCTAGTTTCAACGGCCGAAGGTGAACTTTGAAGATTGATGCTCGTCCTTTTATGTCTGGGGGTCCTTTAGAAATTATTTTTAAAGGGGAAAAAGGTCATAGTGAGACACATCTCCACCACAAAACTTAGGCTGAATCCAATGAACACCATCTCACCAATAAAGATCTGCCTGTCGAAGCGGCCTGGCCTCAAAAGGGCTGGGTCCAGAATGTCTGGCCGATTTGTGCCTGCCAGGATGACCACATTGGTGGTTGTGTTGAAGCCTAAAAGGTAGTAATTAAAATGTGGAGTCAGAATTAAATAACAGGACAGAAAACAAGACTAGCTGGCCATAGATGGACATCATAAAGCCCTATCTGTATCAGACATTGTTTTCTATTATTATCTAGAACTTTTAAAAAAATCACCTTCATGTGTGTTTTGCCTGCATGTATGCCTGTGCACCACATATGCACAGTACCTGTAGAGACCAGAAGAGGGTGTCAGATCCCTTCGGACTGTAATTAAAAAATTATTGTGAGCTGCCATGTGAAATCCTCTGGAAGAGCAGTCAGTGCTCTGAACTGCTGAGCCATCTCTCCAAATCCTTATCTAACACTTTTTAATCCAAAAACTTAAACTATTTTTCTCACTAGTCACCTTGTACTTAGTTATAATAATCACAAATTAAAGTTTTTGCCAGTATTTATTCATATTTTAGATATACTGATTTTATCTGAAACACACTTGTATGCATAAATGAGGTACAATATGACTCTTCAGCATGAGAAACAATGTGTGATTATTTATGAGATCAGGATAACTGGACATCCATCAATCACTCAGATACTTAGCAGCTGGAACACTGAAAATGCCCTGTTAGCTATTCTAAAATAAAATAAACAATTATTATCAGCTGTTGTGATGGCTATTCTTGATTGTCAATTTGACTACTCCTAGAATTAACTAAAACCTAAGAGCTGGGTACCCCTGTGAGGGATTTTTTTTTCCCCTTTAATTAAATCATTTGAAGTATGAATACTCAATGTAATTCTGATTTTTTTTTTTTTTTTTGAGGTGGGAAGATCCACCTATAATCTGGGCCACGCCCTCTGGTGGCAGCTTATATAAAGGACACAGAAGAAGGAGCTTTCTCTCAGCCTGCTTGCCCTCCCGGTCCCTGGCAACTCCATCCCTTCAGTGGTATTAGAACCTACTTCTTCAGGACTCTGGTGTATACTGAAGACCAGCTGAGATTCCGGCCTCATGGACTGAACAACTACTGGATTCTTAAGACTTTTTATTGGCAGACAGCCATTGCTGGACTAGCTGGACCACAGTCTGTAAGCTGTTCTAATAAATTCCATATATATACCCTCCCCCAGTTCTGTCCTACACAACAGTGGTTATCCTGCTGTGTTACAGAAGACTAGAAATGACTCCTCTATAAGTAACCTAGTATCCACTAGTCTTTCTCTCTCTAGCTCTTTTCTCTACATAGCACAGTTTTAAGAATCAATTTTCTTATTTTTAATTTATTTTTTCTTTTTAAGGAACAGAGTCTTACTCTGCATTCTACACTGTCCTAGAACTTACTATGTGGACCAAACTTGGGGTGAGTCTCTTAGCTCTGCTCCCAAGTGCTACACCCCTATGCTCAGCAGTTTTCCTTCTTTTCCAGATTCTTTTTTTTCAAAGCCAGGGTTTGTTTCTCTGTGTAACAGCCCTGGCTGTCCAGGACTTGCTCTGAAGACCAGGCTGGCCTCGAACTCAGAGATCCTCCTGCCTCTACCTGAATGCTGGGATTAAAGGTGTGTACCACCACCCACTGGCTATTTTTATTATTTAATTACATGTGGAAGAGTGAACTGACTGTCACAGAACAGATCACGGTCTCTACCTTCACATTCTGACACTGCATTTGGCTTCCTCATCTAAGCCTGTGTGATGCCTGGCACTGTGCCTTCCCTTTGTGTGAACACACAGGCAAGTGTCCACACACCTCCAGTAGGAAGGATGCAACAGCCCCTGAAACTGCCTCTTTAACTGACAAAAAAGCTGGCCAGCATGGAATGACTGCAGCTTTCTAGGTTTAGGAGTATTGGTGGCCCTTAACCTTGGATTTTTGTTAATAATGGGGTGTAAGTGATGCACAATCAATTAAAACTGCATCTCAAATTTTGAAGCTGCCTCTTTCACAGGACCAGCACTGTTTGGCTTGATCCTCTCTATCTAGGCTGGGTGGCAGAACTGAACTTCAACTCCCAGCCAGCCACACCACCCTTAAGAAACACACCCCACAGTGCATTGTGCTGTGCAGTAGAAATTTCTGTGGGTCAGGGGTACTCATTGTATTTTGGACTTAGGATATTTTCAACTTAAATGCAAACCCACAAAGGTCAAAAAGCACCTGTATTTGCAAAATTCACACTTCACTGCACTGGGGTTTTTGGAATGTTTCAGAACCACATTCAGAATGAGAGACATTAGCTCTTTTGTCCGTCATTTCACCCATTTTCTTAGTCAATATAGTCTTATCACCAATGTCGAGGCAAAGTACTGGCATAAAACAACATTGGATGCATGTATGTATGTGCATCAGGTGCATGCCTGTGAGAACAGGAGAGGGTATTGGATCCCTGACACTGGAGTTACAGATGGCTGTGAGCCACCATGTGGGTGCTGGGTCTGGACTCAGGTACTCTGCTAAGCCATCAGAGAATGTTCTTTTACTTTTTAAGGTCGGTGTTACAATAACAATCCCCATTCAGAGATCAAGACAACAGATGGGTGACTGCTCACCGTCCATCTCCACCAGCAGCTGGTTGAGCGTGTTCTCCTGCTCACTCTGCCCTCCGAAGTTGCCTCGACCCCTCTTCCTTCCCACAGCATCAATCTCATCAATGAAGAGAATGCAAGGGGCATTCTTCCGAGCAAGGGCAAATAAGTCTCGAACCTTGACAGAAGAAGGTGAGTTACTTGTCAAGTCAATGCTACTAGTTTAGCAAGACTAACTTCAAAGTGGCATGTGGCACATACCTATACTTGCCACACTCAGGAGGTTGGGGTAGGAGGACTGCAAATGAAGGACAGCTTGGGCTACATAGTAAAACCTGCTCCTTCTCTAAAGACCTAATATTAAATCCTAATGTTTCTGTCCATCCTACTAACCCACCTGAATTATCACCATGAACATCCTAAACATCTCACTGACCAAGGCTTTATTCCCTTCTCAGCTTTCCTACCTACAGGTCTAGCTCCATCGCACACCTCTCATCTTCAACTCCCCCTTGTGCATATCATCCTATCATCTGACTCTAGGACTCAGCTGTCCTGCAAACCCTATGAGCCTACCTGCTCCATTAACTGTAGACTCACCGATGCTGAGATCCCCAGCAGCATACCTGCTTTCAAATGATAACACACCATTTTCCCACAGATTAAAAGCTATTTCCTTATACATTTAGAAAATACTGTGATACCACCTTGCACTTTTGACAACATTTTTTTTTCATTTTTAGACATAAGTAAAATACAAGAGAATTGAAAGTCTAGAAACAAATCCATATATCTATGGTTGACAGTGTCAAAACCATTCAGTGGGGAAAATGGTATTTTCAATAATGATGTTGGGAAAGTTGGACATACAATATATATGCATAAGAATGAGATTAGGCCTATACCTCATGCCACATATAAAAAATGAACTAAAAAAAGTGAACAACCTAAATATAAAGGCAAAAAATAAGACTTTATTAAAAAAAAAAGTAAGAATAAATGTTCACAACTTTCATTTGGAATAGAGTCTTAAACATGATACCAAAACACAAGAAGCAAAAACTAGATAAAGACTTGCATCAAAATTAAAACTCTTTGTGATGGGGGTTAGAGAAATGACTTGGTGGCTAAAAGCACCTGCTGCTCTTCCTAAGGGGCTGTTTGGTTCCCAGCACCCACAGGGCAACTCCAATCTAGGGGTCTGTACTCTCCTCTAACCTCTCAGGTACTGCACATGTTTCCCTTTCCCCGGCCCTTTCCCCTTTCCACTCACACACACAGTCTCCCTCCTTGTCTCTCCCTCTCCCCCAGCACACTCTCCTTCCTCTCTCTCCCACCTTACACATGCATATACACACACATAAAAATGAGAAGAAATTGGGTTTTTAATATATTTTTTAAAGATGTATTTACTTTATGTATATGGTTCATATAGAGGCTGCATGCCAGAAGAGTACATCAGATGGCTGTGAGCCACCATGTGGTTGCTGGGAATTGAACTCAGGTCCTCTGGAAGAGCAGCCAGTGCTCTTAACCACTGAACCATCTCTCAAGCCCCAAAGAAAATATTTTTAAAAACCCTCTGTGCTGAGCATGTGGCTCACACCTTTTATCCCAGCAGTCGGTAAGCAGATCTCTCTGATTTAATACAAACGACCCTTTCATTGCCTTTATATGTTAAGAATTCAATGACTTTTGACTGGACATTGGTAGGTTATGCCTTTAATCCCAGCACTCACAAGGCAGAGGCAGATGGAGCTCTGTGAATAAGAGGCCATTCTAGTTTACAAAGCAAATTCCAGATCAGTCAAAGGCTACATAGTGAGATTCTATCCCAAAGAAAAGTATTTGTAAACCAATTATCCAACTAGGAATTAGTAGCCAGATTACCTGAAAAAACTCTTGACCACTCATCAATAAAAACACCAATTATTTAATTAATTAAATTAAAACCAGGCTCAACAGGTAAAATGTCTCAGGTGCAGAGAAGAGGCTTAGACCAGAAGGATAGGGGCTTGTTAAAAAGTTCTGATCCAAGGGCTGGAGATATGGCTCAGAAGATAAGAGTACTGGCTGCTCTTCCAGAGGTCCTGAGTTCAATCCCCAGCACCCATATGGTGACATACAACCATCTATAATGAAATCTGGTGTCCTCTTCTGGCCTGCAAGTGTACATGCAGACAGAATACTGTATACATTATAAGTAAATCTAAAAAAAAAAAAAAAAAAAAAAAAAAAAAAAAATTTTTGATCTGAGGGCCAAAAGGAAATAAACCGGCTCATACATGTGTTCCTCTCAGGGCTCTTTATTCTTCAAAAACCGTTCTTCCCAAAAGTTCTTTCTCTAAAAACTCTCTTAAAGTTCTCTTAGGATCTAAATGTTCCTACTTAATATTCTCCAAAAGTTCCTTCTAAAAGTTCTCTTGATCCCACAAGGCTTCTAGTTCTTTTATGTACAGGCACATTTAACAACTCTCTGACAACAGGGCATGCATATCTCTCAGAGCCAGGGAGGCCAATAGGATCTTGAGAAAAACAGGTGCCTCACATCTCTCCCCTGGATGACTTGCAAAATGTCCTGACAAACTTAAGTCTCAGAGGGGACATGAATGGCAACATGTGCTGTTAACTGATAATCGGGGACTTCTCAGCACTATGTCACAGAGAAAAACTAAGGCTATGTAGTGTGACATCTGGAGGCTGCAGCTCTAACTGCTGATGCCCTGGTGAGAAGGAATTCCTTTCTCTGAGGCCTTTTTGAGAATATAAGGCACCCAGTATATAGTCTACATACAGTCAAATTCATAGTAACAAATATGTTGGAGTTGATACATAGATTATTAATTGCTACTTCTTTAATAAATGATAAAGGCTCGCAGCAGTAAAAGCACTTGCCATACAAGGTAGATGCAATGGTACATATCTAAAAATCAGCACACTGGAGATGGGAAGTGTGTGGAGCAGCAAGCCTACATCAAAAGCAGAAGAAACCAGAAAGACTATCTCCAGCAGCAAGAACTGACTTCATAGAGCTGCCCTTTGACCTCCACACTCACACCATGACTTGGACATGTCCACAGGCACATGATAAACAAAGGCAAGCCAGAAATGGTGGTAGACACCTATAAGCCTATCCTTTGGGAGGCTGAGGCAAAAATATTGCTGTGAGTTCAAGCCAAGCAGAGCTACAAAGCAAACACCAGGCTAGCCAGGGCTATATTGCAAGACCCTTTCTCCAAAAACAAAAGCGAGGCCCACAGTTGACTCGCAGGCAAGAATGCCTGCCACAAGTCTGATGTCCTGAGCTTGGTCCCCAGGACCCCACACTACGGAAGGAGAAATTATTCTCTGACCTCCACAGACACCTACCATGACATTCACGCATACATAAACATAAGATAAATAAGTGTAAACAAACAACAACCCCCGCCCCAATCATATACACTAGGCTGGCATGGTAGCTCATGCCTGTAATCTAAGTATTTAAAGAGCCTGAGACAGGAGGACCAGAAGCTCAAGGCCAGAATAGTCTGCATAATATCCTATCTTAAACAAACAAAAATCCACACTACTGGGGCCTGGAAAGATGATGGTTCAGCAATTAAAAGGACTTGCTGGGCAATAATGGGGACCAGGGTTTGGCTCTCTATGTAATGAACTGGGCATCCCAGCATATGTTTGTAAAGAAGGTGGAGACAGGAGGATTGCTGGGATTGCTGGTTGTTATCCTAGGTGAGAAAACCAAGCTGCAGGCTCAGGCAGGCTGCAGAGTGAAAGAGGAAGACCCCCTCAATCCCCAAAACAGGGTTTCTCTGTGTAACAGCCTTGGTTGTCCTGGAACTCATTCTGCAGTTCCAGGTTTGGAACTTCGAGATCTGCCTGCCTCTGCCTCCTGAGTACTAGGATTAAAGGTAAATGCCACCAAGCCCAGCTTATTTTTTAAAAAATACAAAGCAAAAAGCCCAAAACTAAACAGATCACACATTGTACAATTCCATTTACTTAAAGTGTCTGAAACAGAAAATCTAAAGAGGTTAGATTCTGCTTAGGGCTAGGAGACGGAGAGATTACTAAGGGACCCGTGTTTCTTCTTCAAGTGACTAAAAACCATTTAACTGTATACTCATATCAATTTGTACAACATGTCAATTATTAAATATGCCTCAACAAGGTTGCTACCAAAAGAAATTACCCACACAGTAAAGCTACTTATTGAAATGTATAAATTATCTTAAGGGTGGAGGGGAATCACATAGGGCCTGCTGGTATAGCCTTGGAAGACTGAATGAGGAGGTGACCAGTGAGGTCACTCTGGAGACTCCAGGAACAGGGTCATCCTCACCAGTCCACCGCAAGGGGCAACAGGTTGGAATAAAGAAGTTCCATCATCAGAACAGAATAAGACTTACCCTGGCTGGACCAACACCCACAAACATCTCCAGAAATTCAGATCCGCTGACAGTGATGAAGGGAACATTGGCTTCTCCAGCTGTGGCCTTAGCTAGCAGTGTTTTACCAGTACCTGGAGGGCCGGTGAGAATGGCACCCTTCAGACAGAGAGATTACATCTAATCAGAATCTTAAAAACAGAAACTACATATCCATAGTAACTGTCTCTAAATCTTAGTGACAAGTAGAATATTTACATTACAGCATAATGTTTTTACAGTAGTAAGGGTAAGAGGGCTGTTAGAGAGACAATTGTTTCAGGCTAATGTGATAACAAGGTGATGCATACTCCCTTATAGAGACCCTCAGTGCTAAGCTTTCGGTAGCTCAGAGACAGACTTGGCCAGCATGCACAAAGTACTGGGCTTCATCCTCAACATCACAAGGTTTTGGTTTGTTTTAATGGTAGGGTACTGTAGTAGCAGTTGTTTTAGTAGTTTTTAAGCATTCATCCTAATAGTATGAAAAGAAACTTCAGCTAGGCTAATAAACTGCTACTTAAATAAGAAAGTGTTTGATCTTAACTGCTGAGCCATATCTCCAGCCCCTAAGCATTTCTTTAAAGTACACTTTATTAATGAATTTATTTACTTAACAGCCAATTCAAGCTGGGCCTTGTGGCACAGATTTATAATCCAAACTCCATGGAAGGCTGATGCAGGAGGATAGCAAATTCAAGGCCTGCCTGGGCTACAGGAAGAGCTCAAGGCCAGCAGAGGTAACTTAATGAGACCATCTCAAAAATCTATGTAAAAAGAGAGCTGGGAGTATCTATTGCTCAGTGATTTACTTGGCTAGTATGCACAAGACCCTTGTGCTAGCGAGCAAGCATATTCAACTCCCAGAACCTCCACCCACAAGCAATCCATTCAACAAATAACAAGCTGCTACTTTATGTCTAGCCAAGGGCTGCAAAGCTGACATGGTGTAGGCCCAGCATTAGCATAGCAGCTACGAAGTTATGTGTGGGAAGTGAGCATTAGTATTGTCTCTTCTTCAACAATGCTGTGCCAAGACCCTCAGTATCAGGGTATGCAGATGACCCAGCACTGGGTGGAAAATGCTGGATGGGCCACTACAGTATGAAAATGCTACAGGGGCTGCAGCTGCCAAGGGAGAGTGTCTAAATCAGAATAGAGGGAGAACAAAGGCTAATCAAAGGTTTCCATGAGGAGAAAAAAAACACTTTCAGAAATACACAAAATCCATACAATGAGATACAGAAGACAGGCTATGGAAGTGAATCAGACAGAAACAAAGATCAGAAAGAAAAATGACTAAGTAAGTAAGTAATAAGGTGACAGCTTCAGACATACACAAGTGTTGGAGTTAATCCTCTCCAAGTACCTTTTTACCTTTGGGATTTTTGCTCCTAGGTCTTGATACTGCTTTGGATTTTTCA